GGGGGTTCTTATACCAACCTTCTTAAGCCTTTCTCTCAAACAGGGGATTCACCACTCTCTTGGCCTGCTTATTCATGACAGAGGAGCCAAGGCCATCTTCTTCCCCTTGGCTTTTTTTTTCTTTTGGCGTCTTGGGCAGCTAGAGGAGACAGCTCTAGTATTGTTTTAAGCTGTAGGGATACAGCCATGAAGAGACAGGCAAGGTTTGCACATAGAGGGAATTTGAACTTGAATGAGAAGAGAGACGAAAAAGGTGAATAAATAGTTTCATGAGGGTATTTCTATTGATCACCATTGGAAGCACAGTGTTTCATGCATAGCTTTGCCCTGATGTATGTACCTTGCACATCCATAGTGAGCCTTAAAAACTGGCCACAGATTTTAGGGATGAAACACAGTTTTGCCAAATATTTACATTGTAATTTTGGAGCCATGCAATCACTGCTATGAGTGTTGAATTGGTGTATTAAAGTTTCCGTTTCCTAATACATAGACAAATGCTGAATTTAACTGAACCTTGCAAGTGGGAGCCTTTGGAATGGAAGTAATCTCCCGTAATTTATCTGATTAGTATCATGTTTCTTGAGAATAAAGTCTACAGTGAGATTGCCAATCTTTAATTTTATTCAGTGAAATTACTGAACAAAATGTTTCCTTTCAACTTCCCCAAATACCTCTGCCTGGTAGAGTTAAAGGTACCATTTCCAGTTCCTTCTACCTTGAGGATGGCAGCCTAGCTAACATCAAAACCTCATACTTCCTACCAGGAGCTGTTTTGCTTGTGTTTATGTGCGTCTGTTTATGGCCATGTTTGGGGATGATTGATACTTTAAAAATAAGGTTCTGGCCGGGCACGGTGGCTCACGTCTGTAATTCCAGCACTTTGGGAGGCTGAGGCAGGGGGATCACAAGGTCAAGAGATCGAGATCATCCTGGCCAACATGGTGAAATCCCGTCTCTACTGAAAATACAAAAATTAGCTGGGTATGGCGGCACGTGCCTGTAGTCCCAGCTACTCGGGAGGCTGAGGCAGGAGAATTGCTTGAACCCGGAAGGCAGAGGTTGCAGTGAGCCGAGCTTGTGCCACTGCCCTCCAGCCTGGCAACGGAGCAAGACTCTGTCTCGAAAAAAATAAAGTTTCTCTAATACTCAGCCTTTGTCACTTCTTTGCTTTGGTGCAAAGAGGGACTCAGTCCTCTAACATACCAATTTGCACTCAGAGTTTTGGTGGAGTGAAGAACTTCCAATCTCATTGCTTCATTTAGACTTTGCATGTTCTGGGAAGGAAACCCACCTAAGTTTTGGTCTGCCTTTCAGGAAAGATTTTTGCTTGATAAATCTGGGCTCTGCAGTGGTATGGTTTCTTGCCTATTTGAGCAGAATCGAACCCTCTGTATTGCAACTCTGCAGAATTTTCCACTCACCTCCGTGGAGGCTTGACAGCGTGCTAGTCTCAGCTCTTGTTGCACCTTAGTACACATGTGCTACAATGTGACATTACTCTCAGGCCCAACCTCTTCGGTTTTATGTCCTGCTGCAGCACCAAGCATCTTTTGAGTAGGAGGAGATGAGAGACACAATCCATCTTGTAGTCGAACTGGAGAAGTCATAATATTTTTTCAGCCAGTGCTAGAAGCTGAGTCACAATGAGTGTGATTCAGGCCTTGAGTTGTCACCCAAGGTAATTTTGAGAGGTGTGAAGTCAAAAAGACCCACAGTTGTCACTGCCCCCTTAGAAAAAGCCCTGAGCACTGAGCTTCTGTAACCAAGGCAGAGCCCAGTTTATACCTGGAAACATTCCAGTTTTTAACTTTTATGCCCTTCATTTGCCTCAAGAATGAATGACCTCATTCAGAAAATGCTGTCAGTCATTTGCCCACCTTTTAAAATCTGTCTTTTTTATTTTTATCTTGGTCATGTTAACCATGTGTTTAGAAAGGGGAAAAAGCTAACTTTTTTCTAAAATTAATATCTTAGTTAAAAACTCATATAATTAGGAGATTTGTTACACTGGCAATGTCTTAGGTTGGAAATGGCAAGTCCCAGATTTCAGACTAAGTTAAGCAGGGACTTGACCCTTTCCTCAGAAGTATAGAAGATGCTTGAAAGACATTCATAGAAAAGGGTTACCTTAGAAATTTGTAGCTTTTGCATTTTTTAAATACTATGAATGAAAGGCTTATAAGCACATAAATACATACTAGAGAGTTCTTATCAGGGGTACAGGATGGGTGCCCTGGCAGAGATCAGAAGACCTGTGCTCCCAGGTCACAGCTTTGTGCTGAGCTAGAGGTGTGACTTTGAGGAAGTAGCTTAATTGATCAGTTCTCAGTTTCCACATCAACAGACTGAGGAAATAGAACTGACTTTGCAGGGTGTTATGAGTGTAAAAAGTTCTATCAAGGGCAGAACACCTAATGCTGCTTGAACCTTAGAGAGCACTTAATAGACTGCAGTGGTGTTACATTAATCATTGTGTGAACCTCATTCTGACTGTTCACGACTTTATGTAAAATTCACATGGACACACATAGTGAAATTGGAAACTGCAAAGAAAACTAACCAAAGTGGTAGAGGAATTGAAAAGGAGACTCATAAAAGTTTGAAAGAACCGATTATTGATTGTGGAGAAGTGAAGACTGGAGAGTCACTGAATGACTGTCTTTGAGGTGTGTGGGACATCATTATATGGAAAACGATACCTGGCTGTTCTTCATCTCTGCAGAGGTCAACAGAACCAAGGCAGGCAGGACAGGGCAAAGCCAAAGAATGAAAGTAGAAGCAGTAGAGATGACAACATGTAAATCAGGAACAAAGATAGGGAGAGCAAGGGGGATGCAGCCCCAAGGAAGATGCCAGTAAGGTTCATGTCAACACTTCCCACCAACTTACACGGTCTAAAGGCATATCCCCAGCATAGGGGGAATTTCCCCTGATTCAGCCTGCCCTCCCCATCTCTTGCTTTTGACACCAGCTTGTTCATGGGTTCTGTCAGTGAGTACCTTACCCAGAGTAGTTGCAGTTAATGCCTGGAACTTTGCTTAGAGCAGTGGTTCCGAACTGGGGTCAGTCTTGCTTCCCCAGAGAGTGTTAGTCTGTAGGCGTTTTTGGTTGTCACTGCTGGAGAGAAGGGGTGCATTTGACACCTAGTGAGTGGAGGCTAAACATCCTGCAATTCACAGGCTGGCTCCCCACAACAAAGAATTATCCTGTTCCAAAATTTCAATAATGCTACTTTTTAGGAACCTTGGGTTACAGGAATAGAATATCCTAGCATGAGCTCCTTTAAGATTTACTAGTTTATGCCAAAGCATTTTTTTCTCCGTTTACACCAAACCATACAACTGAATGGTTACAGGGACTTAAACAGTTGCTATTCTAAAAAAATGTGTGGATTACATTATAATCATGTGTTTCTTAGCTGTCTGCTATACTTGGGTTTAAAAATATTTATATTTCTAAATAAGCAACTGATTCTTTGTATAGAGAAAATAACATGCATTAGAGCTCCAGGAAGTATGTAGACACCACCTTCTACGCTTCCTTTGCCCAGGGTTTTGCTGGCCGATTAATCGCTGCATTCAAAGACTCCCAAGGCAGTGACTGCCCTGCAATCAGTGTTGTGGTTGAGACTAAGGCATGACATTGGGTGGGGAAAATTCCCTAGGGCCTGCTCACCGCCCAACAATAAAGGGGGGGATTCCAAGAGTGAGTTCCATCAGCACACAACGTACCGATGCTCTGGAAACGTTGCCATTCAGTGACTCTGGGAATAAATCATGCTTTCTTGACTTAATAATACATTGCTGTTTCTAAATAATATAAGTATATGTTGTGTGCGTCCATTTGTAAACTTTCCTAGTCTTCTGAAATCCAGACACAGCATGAAAACACACGCTATATTTGATTCTTGCATAAATAGCACAGATTTTAATTTTATCCCAGTTATGGATATCTGGCGCGTGCGCTGATACTCTGGGCAGACTGGTGTGAAATTTAATTTGAGCAGTTAAACACAAGGGTGAGAGAGTGCAAAATAAACAAGCACACGCATTTCCAGCCCTACAGCATTTGGTATGTTAACGGGAAAAGCACCCAAATCCTCTCTCTCTTTTATTTTTTCCCCTCTGACAATCAGATTACAGACTGTCTAAAAAGGCACAAATCCTCCACGTCCCCTGCGCAACCCCACCTCCCCCGAATGTTGCCTGCAGTCATTTCATTTGTGAGCTCTTCATAGTTGGAGTTTTAGTGAATGAAAGTGTATAGGTTTGCTTTCAGACTCAATGTTAGATGAGAAAACCCCTTAGTTTCAAAACGAGGGAAGAGTCTCTGAGAATACTTTAGAAGGGGAAATGAGAATGGAATTGGAAATAGTGAGAAATAATAGATTTACAGTTAAGCAGACCGGGTTTCATAGCTCTGGTTTGCCAACTGCAATGTCCATGACCTTTGGAGAGTTACTTAAAGATTCTTTTGCCCGTTTGTACTTATTTGTAAAAATGGTACTAACTCCAGCCTCATAAAATTGCTGATAGAGCACATAGGTGCCTGGTGAAATGTCAATTTCTTTCCCTCTTAAAGATGTCTCTAGGTCCAGCCTCAATCACACTTGCTGAGGAAGGAAGGCATGCTAATGGTTGTTGTCAGTAATCATTAATGTTGGTAAAAATCACAGCTACTTCCATTCCTCCCCCTTGCCTTAATCAACTCCATTCAGGAATTAGCAAGCACCTACTAGCCTGCCCCACCTCTATTTGTAGGTCATTCTGGGTATTAAGTACTGAAAGAGCTTTTGGTCTTAAAAACACCCACTTGTTCCTGCGGAATATGTTGTTTGGGGGTTAGGGGAGGGGCAGTGTGCATGCGTGTCAGTTCAAGGAAACAGATTCATGAGGAATAGCAAGACTGGGTGAGTTTCTTCTTATGTTCCAAAGAAAAAAACATCTGCTTTGCCATCAGTAAAAATTCCCATCTTTCCATCCAATTTGTTTCCACAGAAGAGCGCGTTGTCCCCATTGAAGTTTGCCGGTCCAAACTGTCCAAATACTTGCAGGGAGTAGTTTTCCGCTGTGATAAGTGTACCTTCACCTGCTCCAGTGATGAGAGCCTCCAGCAACATATAGAAAAGCACAATGAACTGAAACCTTACAAATGCCAGCTCTGCTACTATGAGACCAAGCACACGGAGGAACTGGACAGCCACCTTCGGGATGAGCATAAGGTACTTGCCAGGACTTCCTGCCTCCGCCTCAGCATGCTCGTGGGGAGGGGCCAAGGGGGGAAAATATCGCATTTAGTCACGCCCACTGTGTACCAGATGGAGATATGAACTCAAAGAGTTTTTAAAGTGAGGTCTGGTTTCTTCTATTACAAAAGAAACATAAGGTCATTTTTAAAAAGTGTGAAATACAGGTTGGGTGAAAGGGAGATCACCCATAATTCTACCACACCAGTCCAAATGCTGAGCATTTCTTACCTCTCTTCTATACCTACTTTCATTTGTTTAACATAATTGTGATTATACTACACATAAAACATTATACCTTGCATTTTTTAAGCTTAATTCTAAAAGAAGTATTTTGCTGTATTATTTGAAATATTAATACATTTTAAATCACAAGGTTTGACAATTTTCTGTAAAGGACCAGATAGTAAATATTTTAGGCTTTGCAGGCCTAAAATGTAGTCTTCATGGCAATTAAGAAAGCAGCCATGGGGTGTATCGCTCTGCTCGAGTCCAGGAGTTCAAGACCAGCCTGGGCAGCATGGCGAAACCCTGTCTACAAAAAATACAAAAAATTAGCCAGGCATGGTGTCATGCACCTGTGGTCCCAACTACTTGGGAGGCTCAGGAGAAAACATCACTTGAGCCTGAGGTGGTGTTGCAGTGAGCTGAGACAGTGCCACTACACTCAAGCGTGGGTGACAGAGTGAGACCCTGTCACAAAAAAAGAAAGAAAGAAAGCAGCCATAGACAATACATAAATGAACCAATATGGCTGTGTTCCAATAAAAGTTTATTTACAAAAACAGGCAACAGGCTGTGGGCCCATAATTGCCAGCCCCTATTTTGATAGATTTACCTCTGTGTTTCTCAATCATGTAGGTGGTTTCCAATATTTTGCTAACTACAAAGATTTTTCAAGGCATTACAGTTTCAGTATGTCTGAACTTTATAAGAATTGTAAAATATATGTTTCAGGGGAGAAGGAGACTCAAGAACAAATAAATTAATAGAGGATTTGTGGAAAAAAAATTCTCTTCCAGAGGTTTGCTTATCAGAGGGGTAGAAATCACACAGGACGGCTTTGTCACTCTGCACAGGGATCATCTGGCACCTCAGGAACTGAGATGATCATTTCTGGTTTTGTGTATTACCTTGAGTATGGGAGGAGGTATAATTAGTATTTGCTTAATGACAAGAGCCTATCAAAATGCTTTTTAATTAGCCAACAAGTCCAAAATATCTATTGAGTGTTTACTGACGGTACAAGGAGAAGCACAGTTTATATTGTCTGTTTTTTCCTTGCTCTGTGTCCTCATCAGTGGAAATATAGTCCTTCTCTGGCCTTACAAACCCACATTATAAAGAGTTTAGTCTGAATCATCTGCACCCGTGGGTTAGAATTGTTCTGTGGGGTGCTGAGAGAGAAGGCTGAGCTTTGTCACCTGTCTACAATGGAACAGTTTAATGGTAACTTCTCTGCTTTGGAATGCATTTATTTTCCCATGTGTCTGCCCAAAGAAAAATGAAGCAAAGAGGAAAAGCATAAATTACCTCCCTTAAAGTTTTTATTATCCTTTTTTATTCAAACTTTTTGGGTATTTCTTCCCCAAACTTAAGAATAAATTACTCATCTCTTTCAAACCAAGCCTTCTATAATTATTCACATGTATCTTATTTACATAACTACCTCAGACCTTTTTATTACAGTGTTTAAGCCTCCAGGCTGATACTTTAAGACAGAACAAATCAGGAAGATAGATTTTTCTCTAGTTGTTGCACGGTAGCTTGTAAATCACTGGGGAAATCCAGAAAAGGTTAGGAACCGTAACAGACATGGAACCAGAGGGTTCTTCAACAGCGGATGGAAGGCTGAGGCTTTGAGGTATGGGTCATGGAAATGAGTTGCTCAGGCACATAGGGCCCAATTAAGACTTTTGAACCAAAAAGATCTGGATTTTCATCTTGTTTCCACCATTTACTGTGCATACTTCAACAAGTTACGTAAATTTCTGGGTCTGTTTTTCAGTTCATAAGTGGGAATTGTTTCACCTTTCTCTGAAGTTTTTGTAAGATTAAATGAAGTTCTGTATTTCACCCACTTTGAGACCCAGTTCATTAGAATATTTGTTAATTGAATTATGTTAAAGTATAATAATAGTTTTACCTATTATAATAGCAGTTATGTTCCCAAAGACCTAAAACATATTATAAAATCACTGATTATAGTTTGCATCTTAGACACAGTCGGTTTTTTTTAAATTTATTTATTTTACTTTAGGTGCATACTATATCTGGCATTTCTCCCTATGTTATTCCTCCCCACCCTCCCATCCCTCCCCGCAGCCCGCTATCTCTCCTCTAACCCCCCAACTGTCCCCACTGTGTGATGCTCCTCTCCGTGAGTCCACATGTTCTCGTTGTTCAACACCCACCTATGAGTGAGAACAAATGGTGTTTGGCTTTCTGTTCTTGTGTCAGTTTGCTGAGAATGATGGTTTCCAGATTCATCCAAGTCCCTACAAAGGACACAAACTCATTGTTTTTTTATGACTGTGTAGTATTCCATGGTGTATCTGTACCACATTTTCTTTGTCCAGTCTATCATTGATGGGCATTTGGGTTGGTTCCAGGTCTTTGCTATTGTACACAGGGCTGCAATGAACATACATGTGCATGTGTCTTTATAGTAGAATGATTTATAGTTCTTTGGGTATATACCCGATAATGGGATTGCTGGCTCAAATGGAATTTCTATTTCTAGATCCTTGAGAAGTCACCACACTGTCTTCTACAATGGTTGAACTAATTTACACTCCTACCAACTGTGTAAGAGACACACAGTCTTTTTTAAAAAATTATTTTTTCATAGATTATTGGCAGACAAGCAGTATTTGGTTACATGAGTAAGTTCTTTAGTGGTGATTTGTGAGATTTTGGTGCACCCATCACCTGAGCAGTGTACACTGCACCCTATTTGTAGTATTTTATCCCTCATCCCCCTTCCTCCCAAGTCCCCAGAGTCCATTGTAGTATTCTTATGCCTTTGCATCCTGATAGCTTAAGTCCTGCATATCAGTGAGAACATACAATATTTGGTTTTCCATTCTTGAGTCACTTCACTTAGAATAATAATCTCTGGCCAGGTTCAGTGGTTCACGCCTATAATCCCAGTACTTTGGGAAGCTGAGGCAGGCAGATCACAAGGTCAGGAGATTGAGACCAGCCAGGCCAACATGGTGAAACTCATCTCTACTAAAACTACAAAAATTAGCCTGGCATGGTGGTGGGTACCTGTAATCCCAAACACTCAGGAAGCTGAGACAGGAGAATTGCTTGAACCCAGGAAGTGGAGGTTGCAGTGAGCCGAGATCGTGCCACTGCACTCCAGCCTAGGTGACAGAGGGAGGCTCCATCTCAAAAAAAAAAAAAAAAGAAGAATAGTCTCGAACTATATCCATGTCACTACACATGCTGTTAATTCATTCCTTTTTAAGGCTGAGTAGTATTCCATCATATATATATATATGACTGTGTAGTATTCCATGGTGTATCTGTACCACATTTTCTTTGTCCAGTCTATCATTGAATGATATATATATATATATATATATATATATATATATATATATATATATACCACAGTTTCTTTATCCACTCATTGACTGATGGGCATTTGGGTTGGTTCCATGATTTTGAAATTGTGAATTGTGCTGCTATAAACATGCATGTGCAAGTATCTTTTTCGAATAATGACTTCTTTTCCTCTGGGTAGATACCCAATAGTGGGATTGCTGCATCAAGTGGTAGTTCTACTTTTAGTTCTTTAAGGGCTCTCCACACAGTTTTCCATAGTGACTGTACTAGTTTATATTCCCACCAGCAGTGTAGAAGTGTTCCCTGATCACTACATCTGTGTCAATATCTGCTAGTTTTTATATTTTGATTATGGCCATTCTTACAGGAGTAAGACGATAGCGCATTGTGGTTTTGATTTGCATTTCCCTGATTATTAGTGATGTTGAGCATTTTTAAATATGTTCGTTGGCCACTTGTATCTCCTTTTGAAAACTGTCTATTCATGTCCTTAGCCTCCTTTTTGATGGGATTGTTTGGTTTTTTCTTACTGATTTGTTTGAGTTCATTGTAGATTCTGATATTAGTCCTTTGTCAGATGGATAGATTGTGAAGATTTCTCCCATTCTGTGGGTTGTCTTTTTACTCTGCTGACTGTTCTTTGTGCAGTGAAAAAGCTCTTTAATTTAATTAAGTCCCAACTATTTATCTTTGTTTTTATTGCATTTGCTTTTGGGATGTTGGTCATGAAATTCTTGCCCAAGCCAATGTCTAGAAGGGGTTTTCCAATGACATCTTTTAGATTTTTATAGTTTCAGGTCTTAGATTTAAGTCCTTAATCCATCTTGAGTTTATTTTTGTATAAGGTGAGAGATGAGGATCCAGTTTTATCCTCCTACATGTGACTTACCAATTATCCCAGCACCATTTGTTGAAAAGAGTGTTCTTTCTGCACTTCATGTTTTGTTTGCTTTGCTGAAGATCATTTGGCTCTAAGTATTTTGGTTTATTTCTCAGTTCTCTCTTCTGTTCCATTGGTCTATGTACCTATGTTTATACCAGTACTATGCTGTTTTGGTGACTATGGCCTTATAGTACAGTTTGAAATCAAGTAGTGTAATTGTAGTAGTCTGCTTTCACACTGCTGATGAAGACATACACAATACTGGGCAATTTACAAAAGAAAGAGGTTTATTTGGACTTATAGTTCCACGTGGCTGGGGGAGCCTCACAATCATGGCAGAAGACAAGAAGAAGCAAGTCCTGGCAGAGGCACAAAGAGAAGGAGGAAGACGCAAAAGCGGAAACCCCTGATAAACCATTAGATCTCATGAGACTTATTCACTATCATGAGAACAGTATGGGGGAAAGTGCCCCTGTGATTCCATTATCTCCCATGGGTCCCTCCCACAACACATGGG